AACGCATGCAGCCCCGTCCGACGGAGCGGGGGGCGGGGGGAAAAGAGGCACACCGGCCGACGCCAATAAGAAAGACAAGAATAAGAAACGGAAAGAAGAAAAAAAGGAAAAAAAATCTGATATACGACGCAAGCAAAACCCAGAAGACAAAGACAGCAACAATAAAAAACAAACAAACAAGCGGAAAGAAAAAATGCGAATCAACAAAACCACACACACACACACAGAGACACACAGAAGCACAAACGAAGGTTTCTCCTGCACCCTCCCCGCCCTCTTCTTTACGCTGTTTCATGTGTATACGTCAATCCTGCATGCAGACCGCTGCATAGGCGACTCCCGCGGCAACGCCCCACGTTTTCCCTTTCACCACGTTGAAAATAAAGTGGGTCAATGGGCGTACAGACGGACAGACAGACAGACAGAGAAAGAGGGGGATACACACGCACACACACGCACCCACGCGCTTACCTGCATCGCACTACATCGCTCTGCACCTGGAAAGCAACAGCAAGGCGACAAAAAAACAAAACGAAGCGAAACGAAAGGAAGAAAAAAAAAAGAAAGAAGCAAAATGCCAAAACAACAACAAAACAAAACAAAACAAAACACGCATGCACCGTCCTCCTCCTCCACATCCTCCATATTAGTAGTTAAGGACTCTTTTGTATTATTATTACTATGCAATATATACATATATATTGCATATTTTCTTTTTTTTTCCCTCTTCCCCTCTTCCCCTCTTCCTCCTACTGGTTGGTTCCTACGCCGGCCGCCTTTCGCTTGACTCGTCCTTCACCACAATCCGTGCTTTCTTTTCATTTCTCCACCGTGCTGAAACAAACTCGCCGCGCCACCTCCACCGCCTCGTGCTTCCCCCTCCTTCCCACCGCCGCCGCCGCCGCCCCTTCTCACGGCGCTATCCCCGCGTCACAAGGCCCCCCGCCGAGGAAGAGGTGTAGGACCCCAGAAATGTTACCATGCGAGCGACACGGACGGAAAAGGAAGAGGTAGCGAATGTGCGTGTGTGTGTGTGCGGGTGGACCGCAACACAAAGGCAGACACATCCATACACGTCGGCGTCCACTGTAGATGCAGACAAGAACAAGCACATTACACAGGCATCAACGAATGGATACAGATATACATAAGTATATGCATATGTGTATAAAACTGACATTAGCAGAGAACAGGGGAATCAGTTAGGCGTGGGTGTGACCTACCAACAATGCACGTGCCATTGCACCCGTACAAGGGACGTGAGGCACATGCACTGTGCGTGGGCGCCACACCCACAAATACGCACATATGCATATATATTTTGATATATCAAAATATATACATATATGCGTGCGTGCGTGCGTGTGTGTGTGTGTGTGTACGAGGGAGATGAAGGCTGTGATGAGTCACTCCTGCTCGCACCGCATGTCGCTCGTTTCTCTTCGTGTCTTGTTGTATTCGCCTTCCCCACCTCACACGCAGTCACCACCGGCAAGGCTGGCCTGAGCGCAAGTCCGCCTCCGAAGGAGGCCACGAGCCACGCCGAGAGGCAGATGTGGCGAACGGGCGCGAAGTTCAAAAGCAGCAAGCCCCACAACAAAGACAAGAAACATAAAAACACACACAGCAACAAAGAAAAGGAACCCACGAAGGAAAACAAAATACAATCGTTGGTAATAAATAAATCAAAGTCGCGATTAGAGTACGGAGCGGGACTCGCAGGCTACCCTTCCTTGCAAAACATCGGCAAAAAAGGCCCCTGTGCAACTTGGGCGTCGGACACACTACACCTCTTTCTCCAGTTGTCTGCCTGTCGGTCATGCCACTTCATCATTTCCCGTTGCCCACCGGGCCACGCACCGCTGCCTCCCCCGCGAGGGGCGGCGCACGGCGAGAGGAGAAGAGGAGGAAGCTGAAGAGGAGCACACGACGGGGCGAGCCACCGACGGGGCAGAAGGCGAAAAACAAAACAGCCGGGGTGGACGCGAGCAGCAAGCTGAAACAAACGAAGGCCTCCCCACCCCACCCCACCCCCCAGTTACGCACGCACGCACAAAAGCGAGAGACTGCACTAAGTAGACACGCAAACACAAGACCAATT